TTTTATACATTTATTAATTGAATTTAAATTAAATTAAAACTACTCAAAATAAAATTTTGTATCTGTTTTATAAAATACACGTAACATAAAATAAACTAAGCAATATGTAAATGTTTTTAGTGAGAAGGATGAACCTTATGCTTTAATAATAAATTATCAACATTTGGCGTCAATTTTGTAACAAGATGATACTGGATTATCATTATGTCTAGGTTTTTACAAGTTCAAAATATATTGCGACCACAAAGCGAATGCCTACACCCTACAACTTACACAATTTTATAATCTGTAAATATTCATATATCCAATTGTTTTTATGTATTTAAAAAAAACATAACGCCACATGACTTAGACCAGTGGATATGAAAATACCCATTTACCAAACTGTTTGTTTGTATTTTTAAAAGTAAAACCTTAGGGCAACTTCACCTAACCTAACATAATCCCGGTCCTGTGGCATAGCAGTCAGGGGCAGCGGACGGGACCATCAGTTGCTGCTTAATTAAACATGCTGGTGTAGATAAGTGCTTCAGGTTTTGGATTCGCTAGGTGCAAGTAGCAAGTTGAAGTTGGACCTAGCGAGCACCAGGGGGGTTCACGGGATACGCAAAAGTATATTTTTTTACGATAAATCAGTTGGTATGAAAGATTTTCGTCCGAAATCGGTTGAATTCGGAACCAATCGGTTCAGGGCAGGGGGACCAAGGACTTGAAAATACTGCACCTCTCCAATATTACTCTAACGCAACTAAAAAATAACTATTAAATCAAACTAAACTAACTTCTATAAAATATGTACGTAGGAGAGATACGGCAAGACAGGTAAAAACAAGAAAGGTAACGGATCGAACATAAATATATAACGAATTTTGAACTGGGGTCTCAGCGGTTCAGTACTCAGGTTCTTGGAGAGACCTTGAAAGGGTATAAATTAGAAAGGTTAACACGTTAAAATTATATAGAGGCATTAGATGTTTTAAAAAACTTTAGTATTGCTCTGTAAACGCCAACGTCCTCGGATTGGATGAGACACCGTATGGACAGGGCATGGGAATTCTATTAACGGATTCTCCTCAAACTCGATTGCAGCTTCGGCTAGTCGCGTTCCGGTTGCCGACGTTAAATTCGCTCTGCATCTCATCATGTATCGTCTTGTTAGTTCGGATCGACGGATACTCAAAGGGCAGACTCCATCCTCTACACATAGAACATTAATGGGTGTGGATCGCAGGACTCCCAGACAAATTCTCAGGCATTGGTTCTGTATTCTATTCAGCTGAGCCAGGAGCGCCCTCGAACAGAACGAATATAGTCCAAATGCATAGTCCAATCTGGACAAAACGAAGCCACGATACACTGTTAACATCGTCTTCGGATCACAACCCCAATCAAGTCCCGCCAGGGTTCTTAAGATGTTGACCCCCTGATAACAAGACCTGACCAAGGCCCCGATGTGCTCACTCCAACTCATCCTGTCGTCGAAGAGAACTCCCAAAAACCTATGGCTCTGCACAAATTCAACCGGACCACCTCGAATGCTTAGATTTGGCCAAACTCTGACTCTTCTTCTGGAAAATCCCATCGCCTTGGTTTTGCTGGGCACTACGGCAAGTTGTTTGTCCCACAGGAACTCTTCTACGTTTGCCAGAGTTTGGTTCATCTCGTTACACACTCTCTTTGTTCTAATGCCGGCGCCAACCAACACCAAATCATCAGCAAAAGCCATAAGTCTGATGCTGCCCACCATCGCCTGTCGTGCTATTCGGTGAATGAAGATGTTAAACAGGAGAGGGCTTAGTGGACTTCCCTGCGGCAGACCCATATGTGTTGTTCTGACAGGAATGTTCCGCACTCCAACCAATCGAATCATTCTCTCTCTGGTTAAATCAATAATTATATTGAGGCGTCTTTTAATCATGCCTTCGAAGGTCTTCCTCATGCACGATAACAGCAAGATTGGACGATAGCTGTAAGGCACTCGAGCGGGTGCACCGCTCTTCAGAATCGGCACCACGACGACGTCTCTCCACTGTTCAGGGATTCTGCCAGTATTAAGTATCCCGTTAAACCAGCTCACTATGACTTCCTTTCCCTGTAATGGTTAGGTTGGTGATCATGGGATACGAAACTAGATCTGTTCACGGCTGTAGTCCTTTGACGGTTTCAGTCCCATCTCAAATTCTTGTATGGTAAACGGAGTTGTTAGTTCGTTTGGTGCGTTATCTTCGGCCATGAATGTGGTCTCAGGTTCGGCCGACGGTGGAGTCAGTAACGACAGGAATTCCTCCATCCAGTCCTTGTCGTCATGTAGTAGTGAGTTTTTCGTTGGCTTCCTATTGAAGGCCCTGATCTTCACACGTTCGTAGCTGGAGTCTCCCTCCCAATCGCCTCGCAAAAGTTCCTAAAGCTTGCTCTCTTCTTGGCTTTCAGGAGTCTCTTCGTGTATGCCATCTGACGGTTGGCAGCAATTAGATGGTTAAACCGTTTGGTTTGCTTAAATATCTTAAGCAGTCTTTTCCTCTTTGCTACGGCCTCACTGCATTCGTCGTCCCACCAAGGGCAAGGAAGCTTGTCAGTTGCTCGCGGGCAACAAGTTCCACCCATTTCCATCCACCACCATTATTCTAGGGAGCTCCTCTGGCGATCTTAAGTTTACTAATCTTTCCTCCGTCAAAATCCCGTATCCAGACCAGTCCACCTTCCTTGAGATAATCCTGTTATTGTTGACTTTCCTTATGGTCGGTGCCGGAATTCCAAACTGGTAACATGACAGCAGAGGAAAGTGATCGCTTCCCATGGTGTCATCAAGAGTCTCAGATATTAAGCTGGTCGATGCCGATCTCGAGGCCAACACCAGGTCCAACACATTAGCGGTTGTCCGAGCTACACGGGTTGGTTGCATTGTTGTGGCCAACCACTTTATTATTAATTATTGATATATAACTACTATGTATATTCTTTATCTATGTAAGTACAGTCTTATGGAAAGCCCCTCGGAAACCAAACAAGCCTATCGGCACTTCAAACATCCGCTTAGAGTAATAAAACCTTTTGAGAAACGATCTGTTTCTCATATTTTGTTAGTTTTACGACCCATTTGTCCTCTTCAAACAATTGTAAGATTTATCACCCCTTAGACCTTATCGACAGCGGAAGACATAAACAAATCTCCGCCGGCGCCTATGACGTACACCCCCACATGGCAAAATAGCCCCTACCCTTAGAATATTATTTCGTATTCAGTACGTCGTCTTACATATAAGACAACACTTACCTCTGATATTATTCTATTATAGTCTTATGACAAATTATGTAAAGACTAGTTTGACTCTACTCTTGACCAGCAACCTATGCTTGAAGCAACTGGAAGCT